GCCAGAAAGCTATGGTCTAGCAGTAACCCCCCCACCCAGCTTCTATCCTGAGCCACTGCAGGCATGTGGCTGTATTTCCTGAATCAAAGATAAATGTATGTTCACTTTTGTTTCAATTTAATCTGTGCAGTTTAGACTAACCTGCAAAGCCTGAATTAATTCAGCCTTGAGCTTTTTGACTGTCTGTACCAAGCCTATAGGGTTAGGGACAGAAGTTACACATAAACAGTCTAAGTGATCAGAAACTGGTTTAAACGTGTAACAGAACAGAAGCTCAATACAAATAAACCTGTTTCAAAATGGCTAAAACTGGTTTAAGATAAACCTGGTTGAATGTAGTATCGGACTTAACTGATTTGGGTCAAACTGGTTTATGAAAATTCTGTCCCAGACCCCTTCCTGGTTCAAGTTAAATCACAGTCCCCCAGCATCCCAGTATTTTGCAGCCCTGGCCTGGGCTGTGCCGTCTGCTCCAGCACAGAAGGGTCAGAGGGTGGGGGAGAAAGGCAGGGACTAACCGCTCCCCCTCCCCCCACAGCCCATGACAAACCCCTATTGGGTTCTGGGGTCAGGGAGGGGGGTTAAATCCCTCTTCTGCCGAGTACAGAGCTGCCTTGCCCTGCTAAATTTACTGCTGTGACTGGACTACAAATCCCAGAGGTACCTGAGAGCAACCCTGTAGAGTCCTGCAGCTGTAATTCTGGACTGCAAATCTCAGAGACCTCAGGGGCAGCAGGAAGAGGAAGTGAACACACAGCCTATGCTGGCTACATGTCAGACAGCCATGCTTAGCACTCCCTGGCTTCTGGCCTGAGCCACTGCAGATATGTGGCTGCATTTCCTGAATTAACAGTGAATGTCTATCAAGTTTTCTCAGTTTAATCTCTGCATTTTAGACTAACCTACAAAAACTGACTTAATTTAGCCTCAAGCTTTTTGACTGTCTGTACTTAGCCTAATAGGATACTTATCCTAGTATCTTCTACCCTTGTTTCTAACTGTGCAATAACTCCAGTATGCATAATAACAAGATTGCTAATATAGAAACGGCTCTAGGCTGCTAGTGGTATTTTTCTTACCAGGTCACCTACATTTATTAACAGCAGATCCATTTAATGCAGTGCTTAAGATGACAGTGGCTGCTGTCAGTCTGCCTGGTCTCATACATAGGAGGCAGCAAACTTTGGAAATTTTAAGAAAAATGTTCCACTATCTAGACAGTTCATTTCACTCGACCAAATGCTCATAGTTTGTATTACTTTTGCCATCAGCCAGCCCATTCTGTGGATAAACTGGGCAATTGTCCAGGATAACAAAATTGCAGCGGTGCTATTTGTAGATCTGATTAGTGATTATCAGATGGTGAGCTGTCAGTGAAGATAGTTATATAAAAATGTAGGGGAAAGGATGGTGAAATTGTCTGGGCTAATTCTGCATATCATTCTTTACACCAGCTTCACATACATTTCTACCATTCTTACACATATAACAAATCTCAGAACCATGTTTGAACTATTATCTTTTAAAAATAATATTTTTGCTAACTTTTATTAGAAAAGATCAACTTTAACAAACTTGAACTGGACTAAAAGAAAGAAAAAACAAAGCAAGCATCTTGGAAAGAATAAGTACAGGGTTTAAAAAAACAAAACAAACCCAACCCTCCATATGCCTAAAACAACAATTAAAGGGAACTAGTGTGTTAAAAAGCCATTGGGTCCAAAGCTTGAGATGTTTACTTTATGTATACTCTGCTACATCCAAGCCAAATACTCATGAAAATCAATGGCCTTATGGTTTGACAGATTACAATTACATGCAATTCCCAGAGATCACAAAAGAAATATTGCTTTAAACTCTGGCTCTTGGGCCCATCATCTGCTCAGTATAAACCAGCCTACAGTGGGGATTACCTTGGCACAATAAAAAAAGATATTAAAAGCACATGATATGACATAAAATAAAGGCAACAACAAATAGGCTTGAACCTGGGTCCCTTGTGTACCAATACCATATATACACAAATGTGACACGTGCATTTCAGAATGATATAGCATACAAAGGAAACCGAGCCACAATTATGAAAATTTAGAAAAAGAAAAAAGACAATAGCTAAACTAAAGCCATCTGAAGACGCTGCATCAGGACTTGTATAGTGACAACCAAAATACACTCTTACTGCAATAATACAACTATGCCTTTCATCATGGAGAAATCTTACGTTTTCTTGAATTTCTGAAATTGCATTTTGGAATAGAACCCCACCTGATATAGTATGTTTGATGCTTTTCTTAATTGGTTACAATTTTAAAATTAATTTATCTGAAATAAAGGTTTAAAAACAGGCAAATAAATTGTTCACTTTTTTTTTTTTTTTTAAATCTACCCAGGTTAGATCTACTCTGGAGAAATTGTTACTTAGATCAGTGTTCCTCAAACTGTACCTAGAGAATATGCAAAAAGAAGGAACATAAAAGCTGAAGAGAAAAGAGAAATATATAAATGGAATAAATGACAGAAGAGATGAAGAAAAACTCTACAATGCCTTTGAGATTGTTGGAGAGGTTACGTTGTGGTTGATACGAAGTGTTTCTTTTTTTATGACCTGTAAGACAGTCATAGGGGTAACACAACAGTATGATGAACTTGAAAAGGAATTATGACCCACTACATTTAACAACCACTGATTTAGAGACTCATTTGCTTTTTTAAAATCAGTACAGCTTTCACCATTGTAACTGTGGATGCAGTAATACCAGTCTATGCTTTTATGACCCTGAAGCTGTGTTCACGCAAGGATGATTTAATTACAGTGGTAAGCTTAAGCTACAAAAAAACTTTCTAGTCGACCAGCTCAAAGCACACAAAGGCTCCAGTTCAGCTTAAGTCAATTTAAGAATGAGGAAAAGGACATATGTCTGATGCAAACATAGCTAGTGGGCTCTCTCCTCTTGAAGATTTGTCTCTCATGGTTTTCAAGACTTTTCAGAAGTTCTGCAGTTATTAGGATTGAGATCCAAAACACAGAAATCTGGGCATGTGTGAAATTTAGGAGTTGAGTCCAAGATATTTCTCATACAAACATCTTACACATTTTGAGAGAGACTAATATCAGCTTGAAATGTAATGTGACTTTCTGAAAGGAGAAGTCAGAATGTGAAAGATCCACATTTGCTTCAAGCAACATGTATAGGGGGCTGACTCACCAGAGAAAACTTCAGTCTCTTGACCTGTGGATTGGAAAACATTCATCTGTGCCACGGAGGCACAGGAAGAACATAAATTTCTCTTTAAACAGATGCTTCAAATTGAGGTTGGGGTTTTCCGTCTACAGAAGCACTCTCAAGAACATGAATAAAAGCTACTCTTTTTTTCACCCATTTTAAATTGAAAAAACTTTATGCATGATGCTCTGAATGATCTTACCAAGCATTAAAATTGCTTTTAGGACGGCAAACACAGCTCCCACTTCTATGCTGTTGTGAGCAGCAGTTAAAAGGTGACGGTCACAGGAAGAGCGAATGCCTGGGAATGACTTCCCTAAAGAAGGAGAAAGAAATACGTGCATATGAAACAAGAGAACCATATTCTTTACTAGAAAAGATCTTGTGTAAGAACTTAGCCACTTAGAACACATGGATAAGCGTGTACAATGTCCTGGGGATTAGTTAGAATCAACTGATTAAAACGGTGACCTAGGTAGTGCACAAAGTTCAAAACCACCTATAATAATTAAAATGCTAGTAAAATAAGGTCCTGAACCTGCTATTGGAGGATGGCTTTAAGTATGCATCCAAAACCAATACACTTAAATAACTGAATTAAGTTAAGTTATCAAGGAGAGTGGAGTCTCTCCTGGTTTTGAATGTGAAAGTTCCTGACATTTCTTCTTTCACTTGCCACTCCTCAACCTTCTCAAAAAGGTATTAAATGTAGCAAAGCACATTAAATGTCCTGTTGCACAGTTTAGTCTGATTTAACACACCTGAAGTAAGCCCGAGTCTTCCAAATTCCAAGGACAGGAGGGTTCAGACCCAAAGTCAGGAAAAGGGAAGATGATGATTCCATGTATATGTTTACATGTTAAATGCCTGCCCAACTTTAAAAAATGTGCATGATATAATAAAAATAATTCTTTCCTAGTGTATTACATCCACATGTATATCTAAAGTAGCTTATGGTCACGTAATAAGTCTGCTATTCAAATTATGATATTTTATACAGTTCTGACTGGTTTGGTTTGAAAGCAGAAGCTAGATTATATTGTTCCTGCTTCCAGAATGCATACATATATTTTTAAAAGGAAGTTGCTGATACAAATGTTTAAGATTTAAAAGTATTTGCTTTAATTTGTTTTACTGGCCTGTGAATATTCTTGTGAAAACTCATTGGCATATTTGGGAAACACCACATAGGATGGGATACTTTTCACTTATCCTTTAGTGGAAGATTTACTCCTCAGAAAGAAAAGCCAAAAAGGCACTGTGGAAGTAAAAAATTTCCTTTAGTTTTGTCCTCACTTAAGTACACAATCACTATACTTGAAATGAATGTTTTTTAAACTTACTGTGAACATGTCTGCAATTCATGGGATGAACATGCCAACAATTCTAGGTTGACAGGGATATATATTTAGATACTCAGCTGCCCTGCAAGTAGTTTCAGCAAATAATATCTGCAGTGAAATTTTTCGGTCTTCATAAAAAATCAGTTTTAAACCCACTTTGTGAACTATTTGTCCAAATGAACTGGAAGATGATATATCATCTTATACTGCTGAGCTGTTTAAATATAAATAGGTAATAATATTTGCATATATGCAATTATCAAATTTAAAGTAAAACAAATGTGAAAGACAATCACCGCTTACTTTCTACAGGAACGCTATACTCCACAACAGAATTCCATTCAGGAAAACTACTGGTTTATTCACTACCATCCCATTCTTTGGCCTCTGCTTCTTTTAACTAGTAACACCTACAATTTTTAAACACGTGCGTGGAAAGAAAAACATTTAGATCTGAAGCAGACAGCCTATGCAGAAGTCTCCAAATTCAGTTTGTGAAGTAAAAAGAGCATGTAGCTGTTAACTTACCTGTTGCTTGTGAAAACAGGTAGACCTGGGGTGTTCTAAAGAGATGAAGCAGAAGTCGACAAGTCATTCTTGCCCCAGGTTCAGCATCTGGATCCCCACAAGCTATGGAAAACAGGACACTGA